CCACACCCTCTCCAGCGTTTATTGTTTGTAGAGTTTTTGATGATAGCCATTCTGGCCAGTGTGAGGTGATACCTCATTGTAGTTTTGATTTGCATTTCGCTGATAATTAGTGATGTTGAGCATCTTTTAATGTGTTTTTTGGCCATCTGTAGGTCTTCTTTGGAGAAATGTCTATTTAGATCTCCCCCCCCATTTTTTTGATTGGGTTATTTATTTTTTTGATATTGAGCTGCATGAGCTGTTTTGTATATTCTGGAGATTAATCCCTGAGGCTGACTTTTTAAAAGCCTCATTACTTATATTTATTCTTACTAAAATTTGTATCTTACTGTATTTAGTTCCAGATTTTCAAAATTTTAGAATCTTGACTCTTACCAAGAGTATTTCTTGTCCCATCCAGATTTGGGACATCAATAGAATTGAGACATGTACTGTCTGGATTCTCAACCAAGTAATGGCAGGCATCTGCAGCACACAACAAGGGCCTGCCCAATAACACATCCAGGAAAGAGCATTCAGGGTTCAGCTAGTGCACATTTCCACTTGACATGCTCTTGTGTTCACCTCATATTTTTACATTTTGTCAACAAATAGGCCTTTTTTCAATGAATCAACGTTTATGCCAAACATTAAACATGCAAATGACGTCTACTTGGATTTAACATCGCCAGCTGCCAGACTGAAATCCTTTGCTAAAGCTTGCTGCTCCAATTTCCTGTGCTACCCTATCAGAAAAACAAATGAAGTCTTTAACTGCCATCACATTTACTTTTGCCTGTGTTTGCCTTCAGGGGCATGTCTCTTTCTTTTTCAGTATACTCGTAAACTCATCTTGTGCTGCATTTTCTGATGTGATCTGTTGATTGGGCGTAGTATTGACTGATGGACAACCTCTAAATCCATTCTTGCATAGTTTTGTCACATCCTTTGTACCTCATTGTGTCCACATTAGATCTGGAAAGATAATTTTTTAAAATGACTGAAATTTGTCACTGTAAAGCTGTAAAATAACTTAGGAGAAGGTGGAGTTCTGAGTCTAAGAACACAGTGAAAAGGGTTCTATTCTGGAAATTTTGCACATGCTCCATTTTTCTCTACCAAACCACTAGTCACTTTTCCTATTTGGGCCTAATATCTTTTGTAAAATGAAAAACTCTGAGCTCCCTTCTAAGTCAGTCTCAGTGATTCTGATGAGTCTCTGTATTTTTGCCAAACACTACCCTAGAATTGATTATTGCATTAATAATTTATTTTTTAATTTAACCGTTATTAGCCAGACACTGCTGGGCACTTAACCCTAGACAAGAAGTTCTGATGGTTATCACAACAACCCTGTGAAATGTATGGTATCGTCCCCTTTTTTCCGGTGAAATAACAGATTTAGCGACGTTGAATAACACACTCTGTTAGTAGCTGGGAAGTGGCATTGCCAGGAGATGGAGCCAGGTCTGACAAAATCCAGTCTCTGTGCTGGCTGCTTCACTGCTCTAGGCTGCTTGTGCTGGGTAGTAAGTCTGATGTATACAGAATTTCTGCTTTTTAAAGTAGATTGTTAGTGACAATCCACAGAAGGGCACAAGTACAGAGGGGAAACAGCTGTCTTCATGACTACATGCCATAGAAATACCAGGAAGCCTTTTGTCCCAGATGCTGTCATGCTCTGTAAATGTGTAATCCCTGCATTGATGCCTTTATAGATTTAATATGAAACTCATGAAAGGAAGTGCTGTGTTTGATGGACTTAATAAATTTGCATTTTTATAACTTTAATATTGTATTCCTTTGAGCTGTACTTAAAAATGTAAAAGTAACCTGTTACTATAGGTTATACATATTCCTGTAGAGAGACTAGAAATTGAAAACTATTTAAGATTAAAGAAATGTTTTATTATAATCTAAGACCAATCTAGGTTCTTTGGAAAGTCACAGTTCCTTAAAACTGCTAATTTAAGAATTAAGGTTGCTGCTGAAGGATTAGGGTACTCAAAAAGTTGCATATATTTTATAATTAGAATGAAGGTATAAGTATAGAGCTTGATGGTTACAGTCATGGTGATTATGTGGTTGGACAACCAAGAACCCAGAGTTACTGGCACATTACAAAATGTGCTGTTTAACTAATACTCAGTGTATATAGCCCAATAAGTGGAAACGAAAGCCCCAAATGTCACATTAGTCCCAGTGGTAGGTCAGCAGGGGATAAGAGGCAGTTAGTGAATGGTGGATAGTGAGCTGCAAGTCACACCATTGGTAGGAAGCTGCTCAGTGTGGCAGAGAATACCCTCAGGAAAGCACAACCTCCCAGATGTTTCCAGATCACCAATAGTCATTAAAAAAAAAAAAAAAAAAAAAAAAAAAAGACAAAGGAACATAAGACCAAAGATTGTATTTAAAAATGCTGATGTTCACCAGAAATGAAAGGTTTGTCTTTGGTGATGTTATCCTTTTAAAATCAGTTAGTGTAGATAGCCATATTCTGCTTACCTGAACAGATGCTAACCCTCTGAATGCCAGTGTGGAAATGAGCCCAAGCAAGGATTATAGGGCAGAAGGGTCAGAAAGTTACTCTCTTAACACTTCCCCTCCAAGCCATTTGCCCTTTCTTTAAAAAAAATTTTTTTTTTCTCATTTGCCCTTTCTTATCTCACTAGAAGCTTATTTACTTGGGCATCTACCCCATAGCCCTCAACAAACACAAATTGTTCTAACCTCAGGCCAAACCTATCACTGACAATTCTGTTTGGATTCCACCTGAGGTGCTCCTCTGAGGTCTGAGAGGCCATACCCCTATGTTCCTCTATCACCCCTTTGGGAGGGAGTGTCATCTTCTATGATTACAGCTGTCTCATTGCTCAATGATCTCTGCCATCCCCACAGTTTTCCCAATTCCCAGTTGTCTGCTTCTCATGAATGGGTCAGAGTTAGCCACTCTACACGTGACCTTCACAGATGACATTAATGTCAATATCCATGCCACAGCTGAGGGCAAATTCAAAGAGGGGCTGTCATGAGAAAATATGAATCCTTTTGTAGGCATGTCATGTCACTGATCAAATGAGTCTGCTTGGTTGTTCTGCACAGACCAAGTTTTTGTTTATGTCTGAGAAAATGGAAATAACTACTTGGGTACAACAAACACATGCGTATATTCTGAACATTTGTGTGGAGATGGGTTGACTAAGGTTATGAAATAATGGATTTAATATTCGATCTTTTTAAAATACACTGCAGATATTATGAAGAAATCTTAAAGGAGCAAAGGCTTGAGAAATATAGGGAAATCTTTTGTTGTCAAGAAAAGTGCTTTTAGCACTGAGTACATGAAGTTCTAGGAGCATAGAACAAAGCTTTTCATCAGAGCTTTAGGGATGAAAGCCTTCATTCAAATGGCAATGTGGAGTCGTCATAAAGTCACTTGCCTATTAGTATCAATAAGCAGAGGTGAGTACTTTGAAGGTGAGTTTAAAAGAAGTATATCCTAAAAATAAAGAACAATAAGTGCATGGGGAGTTAGACTCTTCCCCATTCTCCTCCAGGGCTCTGACAGCTGGCCAGTTTTGTAGGCTTGGTTCATGAGTCTTTGCTGTCGCCAGGCAGCAATCTATCAATCCTGGTGGGTGCCTCTCTGGAGAGCCAGTGTAAGGAAGGGGACAAATGCCACCATGATTGACCTTTATTTTACTCAGTGGTAGGAGCAGTCAGGATTTCCTGATGCATTACCAACCAGGAAATCCCAACTGCCCAGCAGCAAGGGGTTAAAAACTGTTCTGAAAAGCTTTTTATATTCTGAAAAGCTAAATTACACATACATGCAAACCACAAACACACAGCACCTGGGTAAATAAAGTGTGGTTGAATAAAGGCTCGGCTATTTGCAAAAGGGAATCTGGAAAACATTTGCTTTTGGGTGGTTAACATTACTTACATTTTATGCTTTTTGTTTTTTTAAGAAAAAAAGTTTAGAGGAAATGTGCCAAAAAAAATTTTTTTTAACATGGCTGTTAAAAAATAAGATTTCAGTTCATTTACTTTCTAAATCTTAAGGGGCTATGAAGATTGAGAGTGCACAGAGCTACTGCACAAAGAAGCAGCAACACTTTTAGTACAAAAGTTGTTAAAGATCATTTCCCAGTGATGGAATTGTGCTAAGGGATGCACTGAAGAGGTCATTAAACACTGATTGTCCTCCCAGTGTGGGCTCAAACATCAGTGGTAAATGGTATCAGCTTACATAATTAGATGAAAAGTGCTATAAATTCAAAAGCATTGGACTTCATAATAAGCCACATTTTCTGATAGATCTAATAGAATTTGAGCACCCAGGAGGTCATGCTACAGAGGATTTATGCTGAGTACCTATGTGAGTCCCTGTCTGGGTACCTATGTGGCTAACTGATTTCTCCTTGAAGGAAAGAAATCATCACCTCATCGTGGCAGGGGTTCACTATCTTTCAGTAGAATGCTATTAGGTTGAACCATAAAAAAATGCTAGTTTTGTAGTTCAAACACTTCCAAAATCAGCAATTTCATATAATTCAAGCTACTTTGTTTTTCTCTAAGTCAGGTCGAGTTGGGGTTGATTTATGGAGAGAAAAGGGGTGGGGAAACAAATAGTAAAGCTCTTGTATGGTTCAGAAAATAAAAATGCCTAAGCAGAATGAGTGGGGTTTTCATTGGAAGGGTTGTGGGCATGGCCTAGAGTTATGAATCTACCAGATGAGGTTTTAGAATCGACCTTTTCATCTGTGATGGAGGTGGGAGAGAAGTTTGGTGGGGTCATGGGGATAGTCCCGAGAGGCCACCACACAGAAACAACTCCAGCATTAACATATCCTAAATTGCAAACACAAAGGTAGGAATTAAGAAAACAGTTCTCACGATACCTCTGCTATTCCTCATTGTTAAATGAGAGCACAGTTATGAAAAAACAGTAAATATATCTTGTTCATGTATTCAAATTATTAACAAATGGAACAAAAGAAAACCATGTAAAATTCTTGCTTTGACAATTGTTTATTGTCTCTAAACCACAGCACCATAATTTTGTTAAGGGTATAAGATCTCCCAGTGACTCTTGAATGTTTGGAAAAAAAAAAAACCACCAAACATTTATAACGTATTTTGATTACATAAAGCATTACATTTATATTGAAAAACCCTGACAAAACACCCTAAATGCTATCTAATATGTATGCATTAAAATTAATATAATAATGAGGGTAGGCTGTGAGAATAGGACACACAATCCCTGAGGTTCTTATTAAAAGCCTAGAAATCCTATACCTTAACTACTGAGTTCTGGGCCTGATAGTGCCAAGTCCCTGGATAACATAATCCTTGTGCAGGGGACTTTCAAAATGCAAAAAGTACAAATGATAACAAAGGAGATGGAACATAGGTGCTAACAATTTCTAATAGAAATAGTGTCCCCATGCAGTTTTGAATTTTTCATGTCTTTCTAGGTGTCAAAGTTCTTATATTTCACTTTGTGAAGATTTTAAAAACAAAATATTAGTTATTTTTATAATTTTAAAGTGTACAAAGTTCAACATGTAATAAATCTAAAGAGGCCAATAGCTAACTACAGATAAAAGAGTGAAAAACAGATGTAAAGCCATTATGATAAGGCCACTGTCAGACATTACTACATATTCCATCCTATAATCTCATAAATCAAAGCTTTTAATTGTCTGGATTCATAAGTGACTGTATTCTTTCCAATATGCATTCTTTCTTCTTCCAGGGGTTGTTCAATAATAGCAGGTATGTTCCTGCCATAAAGTTCACAGTGTTCTAGAAACTCAACACATTCTTGAATAACACTGTCACGAAGCATGATGGTGTGTTTTGACATGTTTTCTAGTAATGACAGGAAGCATCTTTTAGCATAATACCAGGTATCAGTTCCCAGTTTTTTATTATAAGGCTCCAAGCTTTTGATAACCCGAGAAATACCAAAGTCATAATTTCCTTTGGCACAATAGAGCGTCCCTATCACCAAATTCACAATGCAGAGATGGTAGATTTTCTTATCTGGGTCCTCATAGGAGAGCTGCTCTTCCTCCTTTTCAATCTTCCTCATCAACTCCTCGGCTTCTTCGTTTTGACTTGTCATAATATATGAAACACACAGGTTAGCCAGCACAATAGCACTGACATTCAGGATGTTGTCATAATGCTTCTTGACTATGGGCTCATAAAAACCTATGGCTTCTGTGTATTTGTTTTCCTGCATGAACAGAACATGAGCCACATTCAGCTTCCACACATCATGATCATTACAGAATTCCACAGATTTGCGGAAGATCTTTTCCACCACTGGATAATTTTCAAGGTTCCAGTAGATTTTGGCCTGGGCCATTAGCACGGGAATATACTTCTCAAGGGTGTCATCATATTCATTCACTACCTTTTTGACAGCTTCATCATCTCTGTTGTGTCTTGCTTCCTGCACTTGTATGGTGAGTTTCCGGAGCTGTTCAGTCAGCTTCCCTGCTAGCCCATCAAGCTTAATGAAAGCCTCTTCAGGAGCTGTCTGGCAAGTGATCGTGGCATCCAAGAAGTCATAGAGGTAGGGTGTGAGGAACTTGTAAGTCAAATGGGCATTCTCTGCCAGGACATCTGCTGCCAGGTCAAAATACTCATATTTACAGTAGAGCAGCAACAGGTTGCCAAAGGTCTCTGGGGGAAAGGGATTCTGTTGGAGCAAAAACTGTAGCTTCTCAAACCCTTCTGTAGGCCTGGCATCCATGTTCATTAGCGCCTGGTTGTGCAGGGTCACAGGGTCTAACTCTTCCTCTGCCCTCGGAGGCATATCCGTGAGGGCTTCCTGGGCCGCCTCATAGTTTCTCAGTTGGTATTCTATGGCGGCCTTGAGGTTGAAGGCTTCCACCAGAGCGGTCTGGTGAAGGACTAAGGTGTTGCCAACACTTCGAACATCAATGCCCTCAGTGGTCATGCCCACACCCAGCTCTGGGTGCTGGCGGATGCCACGCTCAATAATGTCGGCGATATGCTTCAGCGCCGGGGCATAGTGCCGGCTGCTGTAATAGGCCAAAGCCAGGTTGTAGGAAAGGTCAGGCCGGTAGCCCGAAGCCTGCAAGGCAGCAGAGAACTTGGAACACGCGGCTTCATAATGTCCCTCCTTGTAGAGCAAACAGCCCAGGTTGACCTGGCCATCGAGCTCGTTCTCGCCCCCGCTGTCTTCTCCTTCCCCACTCAGTAGCTGCTCCACCAGGCTCCTGGTCCCGGGCAGATCGCCCTCGCTGTACTTGATCGCGGCTTGGAGACGGAGGACCCCGTGGTGGTAGGCGGGGTTGTCCAGGAGGAGGAAGGCGACGCGGGTGGCGTCTGGGTAAAGGCAGGCCTTGTACAGGGCCTGGGCCTGGTACAGGCGGTACTGCTCCAGCTCCGGGTGCAGCTGACCCAGCTGCTCATAGCACTCGGCGGCCAGCGCGAACTCCTGCAGGCGGTAGTAACAGTAGCCCAGCAGCGACAGGCCTGCGCGGCTCCTCGGGCTCCGCTGGAGCTCTCCGCCCAGCAGCTGCACGGCCTCGGCGTAGCGGGCATCCCGGATGAGCCGGTACACTACCGCGGTGAACTCCCCGTCGGCGATCTGCGCACCGCCCAGCCCTGCCATAACCGCTGCCGTGGTTGTGTGTGCTCGTTACCACGGCAACAAGCCAACCGGAAACGTAGGACTGCAAAGAATGTTGGGGGTTTTGCGGGCTTTTTTTTTTTTTTTTTTTGCGTGCTCCCAAAGTTACTTTGCAGCGGAACGACCAACCTGGGATTTAAAACAGTCACGAATATGAGTGTGCCTATTACTGGCCTAGCCTCTGAAGACTGCAGAGTGTGAGCGGCGTTAGAGGGAAGAGGAAACGTCTCTGGGCCGTTCAGAGACGGAAAAACTCTACTTCCCGGCATGCACCGGTTCGATAGCGCCGGCGTCGGGACGTGGCCGTGCTGCATGCTGGGAGGCGTAGTCTGCCGCACGGACCTTCGGGAGAGGTCGCGCCGTCGCCTTCCCTTCGTATGGTAAATAAGGATTGTTGTGTCACCTCGGTCCCTGGCGCTGGGGAGGAGGGTTTATGGTCCGAAGTCCCTTCCGTTTTTGAGCCTTATGCACTGTGCAATGCATACAAATATTGTCGTTCCACGTTATTTTAGTGAAAGAAACGGGAATGGGTAAAGAGGAATGAATGTCAGCTTCGTATTCTCCCAGAATTAGAGTAGAGCTTCTGTCTTTGAGCCGCTCCGAGGGCACACTTTCTAAGAACAAAATAGTACAGCGACCAGGAGTTCTTATTCTGTCGTTTCCAGTTGACAGCAGGAAAGAATGCTTTGGATTTTATCTGGTATTTGGAGAGGTTTGGCTTTAGTTCCAAGCGCCTCTGCATCTCACCCTATCGCCCTCTTCCAAAACTACAAATATTACTGAGTTCATATTAGCGTTTAAACTTGGCCCTACATACTGCCTTGATCCTCCAAATTTCACTACGAGGTAGAAACATTGGAGAAATCCATGACCTCGTGTTTTCCAAGAAGGGTGGAGGGGAGGAGGAAGCACGACCCAAAGTGTTCCTTTTTCTATGTACTGTTACTCTTTTACCTCTCCAACCTACTTAGTCTCTGATGTGTGTGTGTGTGTGTGTGTGTGTGTGTGTGAGTGTGTGTGAGACAGACATCCAGCCTGTACTTGTCAGGCTTTAATAATGTTTTTGGATATCGTTATGCTGATAAACAGTGGCTTTTCCTTCAGTTAAAATAAAAAGAAACTTTTCCTACACTTTAATTTTTTTTCCCCTCAGATTCTTAGTTTGAAGATCTCTGTGGAAATTTGCTGGACTGTACAAGAAACCATTCTGGATTTTCTTTTGTTCCTTTGTCATGTTTTTGGAATAGATGCTCTAGATTCCATGGTACTACCTTGGGGGCTGTTTTTGTATAAATTCTTTGGAATTTAATAGTGCCCGTTATGGGGCAGTGAAAAACTAGGGACTTAATTATCCTATAAAATTATATTGGATCACTAATTAGAAAAAATACCCATTGTTTAGACTGATCTGGAGACTACAGAATTTGGGGGAAATGAAAACAATTTTTCAGTCAAGAATTAGAGAAGCAGACAAGATAGCAAAACACAAAACTGGCTTATCCCAGTGAGGTAGTAGTATGTGTGCAGTTTTCAAGATAATAAAATTAGCTGTAATTTATGAATATTTGTCATATGCAATTCCTCCGCTGGTGGCCTGATGTGAGGGGGTTTTCTTTCATAGTCTTCTGTGATTTCCATTGGCCTTGCTACCACCCAGGATAAACATAGTTCAACTAAAAGCATGTCTTTGCTATATAATTAAAGACTTCAATGCAGATCCATTATCTGCCTCCTTAATAGTATTGCTACCTATAAATCTTTTCTGTATATACATTTTGGAGCCAACATCAACCATATTTATTGCATGACACTCTATTAGACTATTTACACATATTATCTCTAATCTTAATAATCAGCCTGTATTCTACATATCACAGATGGAGAAAAGAAGCAGCTAAACCATGAAATCCAAAAGCTAAGTTCATTAGGAGATAGTGACTGATAAATTAATTCAATCTATATATCACATAAGGGCCCAGCTTTGAGGGAACGCTAGTGTCTTGCTTTCTTGGTTGTTATTTTCCTATTAAAACAATCAAGCAACTGGGTTAGGGTAACAGAATTTGAACTTCCTTCCCTGAGTTGCAACTATGAGCAGATGTTAGGAAGTGATAAGTGGGAGCTGGTGAAATTCCTAGTCACCTGTTAGAGCTAAAAAGAGACTTCAATAGGGCATCTGAATGCTACACTGTCAAGCGATTGACTTCATGTACTCATACATTCTTCTCCCTTGCTGCGAAGGTTGCCAAAGCTGTGTTTTTCTGAATTCTGAGACTGGACAAGGAACCTTCCACTGCATGAATACCAAGAAAGGGACAAACTGCACCCATTCCAAAGGGTTTGAGTGGGCCACCCAAGATTCCCAGAGAAAACAGGTGAGGAAGACCACTGTAATCCGACTGAGGCTTCTTATTCTCTGGCTGCAGTTCTTTCTGGTCTTCAACCTAAAGAGGTACATGGTTTGAGGGATGCACTGAGTGCTGCTAAATGATCAAGGAATAGGGTTTCTTCTCCTTTATGCTTGCCTGGTTGACACTTAGCTCTAGGGGAAAAAATTATCTAAAAGGCTCAATCTTTTAAGATCCTTACGTATTTTAGGTTTTTTTTATATTGAGATCTTATTTTGGGTAAGTTGTTATTAAATCAAGGTAAGACAGAACAAAAACTGGAAATTGCCTTTTATATGTTTAGTCTATCAGTCTGATTTTCAGAGTTGTATTTGCATCATGAAATCATTCACCTTCAAATGCTTCTTGGGGATATAAGCAAAATAGAAGGACTCTGCTCTCCCCCAGATTTCTCTGATTTTGTGTGGCTGCTGAAGCGGGCAGGAGGGAGACGTTCTGTGCCTTCCTCCTTATTTCATGTGCTGCTGCTCCTGAGGCCTGGCTTGGAAAAAGCAGGACATTCCGCTTAGACAGATGGAGGGCAGGGTCATTTGCAAAATAAAATGAGTGCACAAATCACGCTGTGAAATTGGCATGACCATCCCTGCTGCTGTGATAGACTGACTTTTATTTAGTCTATGGCAAGCAGTTGGGGAATAGATTAGCTTTGGGGGGGAGGGTGGGGGAGCCGTAAAAGAAGGTCCTTCAATTAATGATGGTAATTCAGGAAAGTAATAAATGAGGTGGAATATTTTTAAATGTCATAAAGGATCATTTTGTTTCCAACAGAATCTTGAAAAGCTAGAGTATATGTCAAAAAGTTAGTGTATTGTACCATTTCTAGCAATAAGAAAGCATTTGGTGGTTGCAATAAAAAGATTTAGTGCCTACTGAAAGAAATTAGACTTTAGAAAAATGGTGTTGGGCTCAGGTGGATTTTGCTGCATAATGGGAGACATGTTTACCATGTAGGGGAATTCCATTTGGGCAAAATGTATAGGGGCTAAAAGCATGATGTTTGGTTGTTAACATGCTTGTGTTTCTGCCTATCAAAGTGTGAGATGATCAAATCCCATGTATATTCTATTTGGCATTCTCTTTTAAAACTAATTGGAAATGATTGTTTTATTTATCTTGTAAAAATAGCCACATCTTTTTGACAAACATTGTTTTTCTATGAGTGTTTCAACCACAGCTGTGGTTAAACATCTTCTATGATAAAGGAAGACCTTCTGCAAAATCATTTTCCAAGTTGTTATTTCTGTCTCCTATTCATTCAGGCCATTCTGTGCAGGATGGCAGATTGAGAGGCTCAGCCCTCTTGCTTCCTCTGGAGTCCAGCTTTATTTTTTGTCTCCATGTGTCCATTGATGATGATAAAACCGACCCTTCTTCCACCACCTCTCACCTCTCATCCCCCCCACCCTATAATCAGGGAAGAAAAGAATAAATTAGTGCCAAATTTGTAATGTAGTTTACTGACCTTTAGGAGCATCTGTTCAATCTTTTAAGACTTTTGGAAAAGACTGTATGCTGAATCAACACTTGGGAATGTTTATGCTCAGATGGTAAGAAATTTAACCTCATTGAGAGCTTAATCTTTTTTCTCTGATAGTTCCAGCTCTATTAATATTTTAGATGGTAATATATTTCCTTCTTGATTTATCTTGCTTTTGATCAAATGGGTTTCTATTTCAAGGCTTATGGTGTTATTATCCAAACTAATTTATTAGGCAGAACACAATAACATTATGATTTATAAAAAGGAATTAGCAGAGAACACACAATTTTGGGTACTGCCATTGAAAAATTCATTCCCTGCAGTTGGAGTGTGCTGTGGAATGCACTGTTACCTAAGTCAGATCATTTGAGCATTTTTCATTGCTCTCATTTCCAAGAGGCAAGAAATGATTCGTAATATCACTTCTTTCTTCCAAGACTGGTACCTTTCATAGTCAGATATATTCTGTCTATGCTTGTTTTCATTTCTGCAGTACAGCTATGGATGGGGAAGGTCTTTGAATCTGTGGTCAGAAGATGATATTCCTAAAAGAAGAATGTCATCAGCCTCTGAACACATTTTCTGGCTTGCAAAGCCTCCAAAATGTTTTTCCATCAGAGAGCCATCCATGATGGTGTTGATAACCAGCTATCCAATTGTCTGAAAAGTAGTGTACTAGTTTTTAAGGCTTTCTCCATGGAGAGTTATGGAACACACACCCAGGACCTGTGCTGGTGGACTAAGAGACCAACTCAGAAACCAAACCTGTCCTTCAAGCCTCCTGCTCCCACATTCCCCTGGTCCAAAGAATCAAGTTCTGACAATTCTGCTTCTGAAATATCTCAACTCTGTGTACTTCTCTCCAATTTCTACTACCATTGCTCTGGTTTCTGCCACCACCATCTCTCTCCTGGATCTGCAACACTTCTCCTAAATGGCTTCCCCTCATCTCTTCCTAGAACTCTTCCAAAGATTTCAAGGCATTTTATCTCCCTTCTTATTTCAGAGTTTTACTGTGGGGACCTCATTAAGCCTTTAACTTTTAGGTTTTGTCCTGCTCTGGCCTTAGCAAATGGAACCCTGCAACCTTGCCTTCTATATGTAAAGGACCTATAAAAACAAAAAACAAAGAAATAAACAAAAAATTGAT